TGTTGTCTCTGGTGGTGCTGCCTTGTCTGATACATAAGTGACTGGATGGAGGTGGCCTGCCGATTGTTTGGGAGTCAGTGGCAGCTTGGGATGTTGTGCTGCGTCGTCACCATCGACCTCGTCGAGTTCGGTGGCACTGTTGGGGCCCAGGCACGGCAGGTGTGACCTGGGCCCCGTGAGCGCGGGCCCGCCCGTGCCCCTGCCGCTCCGTGAACGGCGCCCATGCGCGGCCGTGGGTGGGTGGTCGGCGCCCGCGTTGGCCGCAGACTCCCGCGGAGCGCTATCCTCCTCCTCCTCCTCTTCGTCCTCCTCCTCCTCCTCCTCCTCCTCCTCCTCCTCCTCCTCCTCCTCCTCCTCCTCTTTCTCCCCCTCCCCCTCCTCCCCTCCTCCTCCTCCTCCTCCTCCTTCTTCTCTTCCTCCTCCTCTTCCTCCTCCGCGTTTCCTCCTCCTCCTCCTCTCTTCCTCATCGTCCTCCTCCTCCTCCTCCTCCTCCTCCTCCTCCTCCACCTCCCCCTCCTCTTCTTCTTCTTCTTCTTATTATTATTCTTCTTCTTCTTCTTCTTCTTCTTATTATTCTTATTCTTCTTCTTCTTATTATTCTTCTTCTTCTTATTCTTCTTATTTTTCTTCTTATTCTTCTTCTTATTCTTCTTCTTCTTATTATTCTTCTTCTTCTTCTTCTTTTTCTTCTTCTTCTTCTTCTTCTTCTTCTTCTTCTTATTATTATTATTCTTCTTCTTCTTATTATTCTTCTTCTTCGTCTTCTTCTTCTTATTCTTCTTCTTGTTCTTCTTCGTATTCTTCTTCTTCTTCTTCTTCTTATTCTTATTCTTCTTCTTCTTCTTCTTCTTCTTCTTATTCTTCTTCTTCTTCTTATTATTCTTCTTCTTCTTCGTCTTCTTCTTCTTCTTATTATTCTTCTTCTTCGTCTTCTTCTTCTTCTTCTTCTTCTTCTTCTTCTTCTTCTTCTTCGTCTTCTTCTTCTTCTTCTTCTTCTTCTTTTTCTTCTTATTCTTCTTCTTCTTTTTCTTCTTCTTCTTCTTCTTCTTCTTATTCTTATTCTTCTTCTTCTTCTTCTTCTTCTTCTTCTTCTTCTTCTTCTTCTTCTTCTTCTTCTTCTTCTTCTTCTTCTTCTTCTTTCTTCTTCTTTCTTCTTCTTCTTCTTCTTCTTCTTCTTCTTCTTCTTCTTCTTCTTCTTCTTCTTCTTTTTCTTCTCTTCTCCTCCTCCTCCTCCTCCTCCTCCTCCTCCTCCTCCTCTCCTCCTCCTCCTCCTCCTCCTCCCCTCCCCTCCTCCTCCTCCTCCTCCTCCTCCCTCCTCCTCCTCCTCCTCTCCTCCTCCTCCTCCTCTCTCCTCCTCCTCCTCCTCCCCTCCTCCTCCTCCTCCTCCTCCTCCTCCTCTCCCTCCTCCTCCTCCTCCTCCTCCTCCTCCTCCTCCTCCTCCTCCTCCTCCTCTCCTCC